ACAGAAAAACAGCATAGCATTGTTTATGTGGTGCTTAAGTTTGGGAGCGCTTGGCTGCTTGAACATTTGAAGTCATACTTGTGAAAGGAAAGGAATGTTAAAACTCAGATTCATAAGTGGATGTGACTCTCCTGAATTTAAGCATATATGGGAAAGTAGTTTGCCCATTATGCTATATTCTGATTTAATTGTTTTGATTTTAAAATCTTAAAAATGCACAGAGTACTTCAGATATGTAGGAGAAAGTTATGTAGAATTGTGATACCTATTTTAATTATTGTTACTATTATGACTAATGACAGCAAAAATTGTAATGGCTCCAGCGTGGTTGGCAGCTGTCTTGAAAATATTATCATGGTGCCATTCTGTTACCTGATTTCATTGCACTGACTTCTACTTGAGATAGGAGCACACTTGGCAGAATTTATAATTCACTGGACAACTGCAGACTTAAAAGTTGTGGTTCTCACACTAGCTTTTAAGAATCAAAGTTATTTTATGGATGGTGAACAGAAAAGCTCCTAAAAAGACTCAAAAAGCATGGTAGGCATTAAATAGCTTTTTAAATTCAATCTTCTGATAGGTATAAATGAACTCAGTCTAAGAGATTGAATTACCTTAAAAACTATATGTAAGGGCTCAACACATTCAGAAAAGTACCTGGAAAAAATTTATCTTGTTGAATGCTAAAATTCTTTAAAGAAAATATTCGAAACATCATTCAGTGGAGCAAATTAGGAATGTATCAGATATGTCGGTTTACAGGGAACGCTCTAGCAGCACAGGCAGCTCATATTCTTAGTAAATTCAATTAAGAATTTTACTGATTGTATCATAGGTTTGCTTTGACTGGGAATATCCTGAACTGCTAACTAAATCCCCATTTTATCCTTGCTCCTCCTGCCAGCTGGGATGCCAGCATGGGCATCCTTCAGTGGACTTCACTCTGTGCCAGGGAATTTGTTCATACTACTTTTGAAAAACAAGTATTCTTAACAGCAACAACAACAAAATTATGAACTGGGAAATAAACCTCTTCCAAAGTGGCACAATCTGGCACAAAGGCAAGTTTTTAATCTATAAACATTGTTTCAGCCCAGGTGCAGTGGCTTACCACTGTAATCCCAACACTTGGGAGGCCGGGGTGGGAGGATCGCTTGAACCAGGAGTTTGAGGCCAGCCTGGGCAACATGGAGAAACCCCGTCTCTACCAAAACAAACAAACAAACAAACAAAAAACCTCAAAAATTAGCCAGGTGTGGTGGCAAGCATCTGTGATCTCAGCTGCTAGGGAGGCTGAAGTGGGAAGATTGCTTGAGCCTGTTGAGGTTGCAGTGAGCCAAGATCGTGCCACTGCACTCTAACTTAGGTGACAGAACAAGACCCTAAAGAAAGAAAGCGAAAAAAAAAGATGATTTTAGCTGATACCTTCCAGCCGAGGCTTTTAATTGTGGTCCAGAAGACTTTAGAAACCATTCTGAACAGCTTGTCTTCTGTCCAAGGAAGAGAAAATGAAAAGCACAAATAATTCTACAGAAATAGCCTGAAAAGAGACCAATACAATAAAGTAATGGGAAGAGTGCAACAAAAGATGTAAATAATGGGGAAAAAGTATTCCAGCGGGAAATAAATACTAAGCAATCTAAAGTTGATTAAAGATTTTTTTTTGCAGGGGTGGAGTGGGGGAGACAAAGTCTTGCTTTGTTTCCCAGTCTGGAGTGCAGTGGTGCGATCTCGGCTCACTGCAACCTCTGCCTCCCGGGTTCAAGCGATTCTCTGCCTCACCCTCTTGAGTAGCTGGGACTACAAGCCCCCACCACTACGCCCAGCTAATTTTTGTATTTTAGTAGAGACGGAGTTTCACCATCTTGGTCAGGCTGGTCTTGAACTCCTCACCTTGTGATCCACCTGCCTCTGCCTCCCAAAGTTGCTGGAAAAGATGATTATATTTTAATGAGCTACTTTTGCTACTTTGGAAATAAGGACCTGAGGCAGTAACTCCTTTATTATGAATATTTCTCCTTCCTTCCTCCCCTCCCCATCCCTCCTAATTTTTGTATTTTTAGTAGAGATGGGGTTTCACCTTCTTAGCCGGGTTTGAATGCCACCCAACACAAATTTGTAAACTTTCTTAAAACATTGAGAGTTTTTTGCGATTTTTTTTTTAAGCTCATCAACTATCATTGGTGTTAGTGTATTTTGTATTAACCTAAGACAATTCTTCTTCCAATGTGGCCCAACAAAGCCAAAAATATTGGACATCCCTGGCATACAGAGTAACATGATAGACTTCAGAGACTCAGAAAGGGGAGCGTAGGATGGGTAGGGAGGGCAGGCATAAAACACTACGCATTAGGTACAATCTACTCAGGTGATGGGTACCTTAGGATCTCAGAATTCACCAGTATACAATTCATCCATGAAACAAAAAACTACTTTTACCCACAAGCTATTGAAATAAAAATTTAAAAGTAAATATTCAAAGCTAAAAAAAGACGCATTTATTAATTTCATGAAAATGAAAATGAAGTTTTAAAGAATATGCAAGCCCGCTACAGTGATCTACAGAAGCCTGTCCACCATCCTCCCTGGTTCACTGGGTGTGGCCTCATTGGTCCCCTTTCTATTTTCAGAAGCTGGGGGCCTTTGCATTTGCTTTTCATGTGTCTGCAATGTTTTCGTCTCAGTTATATACATGGCTTGTTTGTGTATTTCCTTCAGAGCTCTGCTCAAATGTCACCATCTTGGTGAATTTCTGCCACCTCTCAGTATTCTTCACTTTTCAGCGTGACACTCAGTATCACCTGGCATTGTATTGTTTCTCTCTCTGACGAGACCTTATCATCTTTGCATCTGCATGCACCTCAAAAAGAGCCTTGACTACACACAGTAGGGGATCAATAAATACATATTAAATGAACTAATAGAACAAAGATACACAAATACATAAACACATTCTCTGAAGAGGAAATACAAGTGGGTAACAATTGTTGTCTCACAAGTTATCAGGGAAATGCAAATTAAGGCAATGAAATAGTATTTTTTTCATCAGATTTGCAAGAAATAACAACGATATTATTGGAAAGGGTAGAAAAGTAAATTGGTATGGTCTTTTGCAAGGCAGTTGTTTTTGTATGTTTGTTTGTTTGTTTGTTTGTTTTTGAGACAGTCTTGTGGTCTTGCTCTGCCTCCCAGGCTGGAGTGCAGTGGTGTGAACATGGCTCACTGCAGCCTCAACCTCTTGGGCTCAAGCAAGGGGTTCCCTCACCTCAGTCCCCCGAGTAGCTGCAACTGCAGGTGAGAGCCACCACACCCGGCTAATTTTTGTATTTTTTGTAGAGATGGGGTTTCTCCATGTTGCCAAGGCTGGTCTTGAACTTTTAGGCTCAAGTGATCTGCCTGCCTCAGCCTCCCAAAGTGCTGGGACTTCATGAGTGAGCCACCACCCCCGACCTTGGAAGGCAGTTTAATATGCAGGTCCTCACACATGGACACAGACAGGCATGTGCAAGCATACTGCTGCAGCCCTGTTGCAATACTGAAAAATCAGAAGCAGCCTCAGTGCCTACTGAGAGTGGCATTGTTAAATTACAGAATATATGTATGCTTTAATACTAGGCAGCAGGTTTTTGAGAGTGAGGGACAGCTAATATGCTCTATATTGTGGTGCCATTTGTGTTTCACAAAACACAAGACTAAATTTCTATATTACATATGAAAATACCTAGAGGAACATTGAATAGCCTCCACGCAGAACTTTCATTTTATTTATCATTCACTGGACATGGATTTGTTGAGCATGTGCTGTGTGAGAAGCATTATCCAAGTGCTAGGAATAGAGTGGTAGGTAAAGTAGGAGAAGCTGCCTGCCATCACAGAGCTTCTGCCCTCACAGGAGGAAGCGAACCATGAGTGCTACAAGGTAATACTAGGTCAGCTGGTGAAAGGTACCAGGAAGAGAGGTAAAGCATGGGTAGGAGGGCACTTGAAGCTCCAGTGTTCAGTGGCGATTTCTGCACATCCTGTAAATGTGCACTGTCCAGTACTGTAGCCGCCAGCCACCTATAGCTGGTAAGTACTTGAAATGTGACTAGTGAAATGTGAGGAGCTGGATTTTAAATTTTATTTCATTTTAATTCATTTACATTTAAATTGCCACACGTGGTAGACAGTATAATGACATGGGCTGATCAGAGAAGACTTCACTTAACAAGGGGACGTTTGAGCTGCAACCAGGGAGCTAGTCATGTATTTCAGGCAGAGTGAACAGCAGGACCTTATTTGGGGCAGTCAGAGGCAGAAAAGACAAAGGTAAGAGTGGAAGGAGATGAAGCCAGTGAAACAGATGGGGACCCACTATGGGAGGCCTTACTAGCTAGTGAAAGACATTGCTTATTCTCTACATGAGGCAGGAAGCCATTGCAAAGCTTTGAGCAGACAGGTGTGATCTGAATTTTTAAAGGGGTGCTAGAACTGTTCTGATGATAAACCATAGGAGTGAGTGCAGAGGCAAGAAGTCCAGAGGCTACTTCATCACCCAGGCCGGAGGTGGCGGCGGATCGCTCTCCACACTTAGGAGGGCGGTGATGGAGGTGTTCCGGAGAGGTCAGATGTGTTGCTAGTATTCACTGATAGATCAGATGAGTGGCCTGAGAGAAAGGGAGGATCAGGATTTGGGCCTGGGCAAACGAGACAGCACTGGGGAAGGGGAACCCTGGGAGGAGAATTCAGGAGTTGTGCTTTGGGCATATTAAGTGCCTGTGGATATGAAGAACAAAGTCCTGGCCGTGAGTGACACCAAAACAGCAATGGCAGCGAAAGGATTTCTTCCTAAAGAACTGGATGAAAGAGAAGTGTCCGTTGATGGTGTTGGAGTCATTCTCTTTGTTTAGAGGCAAAACAGGTGATGTGGTGTTGACCTTTTTAGCATGAAGATTTTATATGTCCTCAATTATGCATGGTTCTTAGATTTGAGTGGTTATTTCTTATTTCTTCCTTAGAATGGCTCCCGAACGAGTTGCATCCCTGTCTCGAGTTTGTGTCCCACTTATTACCCTGCCAGATGTCGCCCCCCTGGTGGAGGCTTTGCTCATCTGTCACGGACATGAACCTCAGGAAATCCTCCAGCAAGAGTTCTTTGAGGCTGTAAACGAGGCCATTTTGCTGTAAGTGGTATTCGCGTCTCCTATCATCCTGTGTCGTTTTTCCTTTTCTTCGAAGGCCGTGGTGTGTTGGAAAGACTATGTGACAGCAGTTGCCAAACGTTTTTGTCTCAGTACCCCATATAACCCTTAAAAATTACTGGAGATCCCAAAGAGTTTTATTCTTTTATTTTTAACTTTTATTTCAGGGTTGGGGATACATGTGAAGGTTTGTTACATAGTAAACACATGTCATGGGGGTTCGTTGTACATATTATTTCATCACCCAGGTATTAAGCCTAGTTCCCAATAGTTACCTTTTTTGCTCCTCTCCCTCCTCCTACCCCTTCTCAGGTAGACCCAGCATCTATGGTTTCCTTCTTTGTGTTCATACATCCCCAAGAGTTTTTTTAAAAAATCTGTTAAACACCTATTAATATTTGCCATATTTGAAACTAAAACAAATTTTTTAAAATGTATTTCTTCATTTAAAAAATAAAAATAATTTGATTACATGTTAACACAAATAGTGTATTTTTATGAAAAAAAAAAATGCTCTTTTCAAAGCAAAAAAAAAAAAATTTGACAAGAGCAGCATTGGTTTTACATTTTTGCAAGTCTCATTTTCTGCCCTAAGACTGCTGGATTCTCACATCTGCTTCTGGTGGGATGTGTTGTTTCGGTTGAAATGTATGAAGAAAATCCAGCCCCACATGCATAGTAGTTGGGAAAGGCAGGAGTATTCTAATAGCCATCACAGATCACTGTGGATAATTCTGCTTTGATAGCTCACCAAAATTTGAAAATGGTCATTTTTTAAAGGTTAGTTGCAGTGTGGAATCTGAAATTATGTCAGTTAACTTTCTATACTCTATTACATTAAAACCCATTGGTCTGTCTTGCACTTGCAATGGATCTTTTTTGCCTACGTATAATTTTGTAGCATTATGCATGATTCTTGTGGAAAATCTCAGTTCATTGTATATTATGTATACATTATGTGTATCTTCCAAACATTGATATATTTCATTATGCAGTATCAAAACCTACAGTCATTACCGTCACCACGGATCTCATCAGAAATGACTTTAAGTATTGGGAAGCTGTGAAGCTTATGTTGGTGGACATAGATTTTCCAGAATTCTAATTTCTCCTTAAAAGCTAAAATTTATCATGGGCTACAAATACTGTCATTTACCTTAGGGGACTGAGTCACTTTGCTAATTATTGAGAAAGTATGTGCCTAATCGCAAAGTGTGACTAACCACTGCTTATCTGCTAGTCATTCTTTCAAGTCAATTTTCATGACAAAAAGTGGTCAGGTGAGCCCCAGCTGAAAGAATTGTGCCGGTGTACAAGTGGAGTGCTTTTCTCCAGACAACCATCGTTTTTTGTTATGAAGCAGAAGTGCTTTATGCACACTTTCCTTTTCGCCATACAGAATTCTTTTCCAAAAGTATCCTTGAGGGCAACAGTTTAATAAAATCAGTATGTTATACTGCTTCATCAAGCATTCATATGTGAAAACGTGGTGTTTTGACTGTGTGTGTCTGTGTGTGTGTGTGTGTGTGTGTGTGGTGGTGGTAAAGAGTAGCGTGAGGATTGTCTCTGCTCTGATTACTGCTGAGATGCAGCTGTGTTACCTACTGTTGCTTTTGCACTATCAGCGCAAACGTCAACATGGTTGGTCCAGGAAGAACCAGAAGATTCAAAATAGTGCTTCCCTACCACTTGCATGTGTGGCCAGCTTTCATATAAAAGATCTTCTGTGCTTGGTCGGAGCTGATAGCAGACAACTGCAAGCAATACAGTAAGCCCAGAGATTCTGTTGTAAGGCAGAAGTACAGTTCTGTTGGTGATATACTAATTTATCACATCTGCATTTAAATTGTTTATTTTTTTTCTTTAGACTCTGAATGATTGATCTCAAACTGATGTGGCAATTAATTTGCACCATAATAGTATTTAAAATATTGTTACATAAGACACAATTAAATAAATCATTAACATCTGTAAAGGCAAGGGAAAAATAACTTTCCTCATATTTTTTGTCTTTATTTACAGTTTAGCCCACTTTCTCTGGAACAGATGTCTCCATCTTGTGAGTCAGAGAATTCTCTGATTTGTCAGTTTCATCTTTTCTTAATGAAATATCGGTAGGATGAAAAATTGGATCTTTTAATCCTCATTTTTAAAGCCAGTGATCCATTCTTAAATACAAGAAAATATATTATAAATAAAGATTACTTTCCAAATAAAATATTGTAAAATTCCAAAATAGTAATCTATAATATATATTAGATATATAAGGAAAATATACACTATATATACATAAAATATATATCTAATTAAAATATTTGAAATAACTTAGGTGAAATTTAAAAATTAGAAAAGTTTTCAAGATTAAGAAATATATATTACTGCAAAACCCAACAAAGTATACTTATTTCTTCTTATGCTTCCTGTGTAGCCCCAAGAGAAACTATGATAATTTTTAAAATAAATTTTTCTTTTAACATATCTCAGTTCTTCCCTTCCTCCTTGGAAAGGGTTCTTTGGACCCCACTTTGAAAATGATTGCATGACCTTATGACTACTGCTGTCGTTAAGACTCCAAGTTAGGAGTTGCTCTGTCAGCAGTGTTTTAAAACACTGTAAATCTACTATGGTGGTATAATTTGCAGAGTCCTCTCAGTCTCAGATAATTAGATTCAAAGTGTTCACATTTCTGAATTCAGGGTACACATGCAATGTGATTTTGAAGTGATACTTACTGCTTATGAACCTCACATTTTGTTAAGAATACTATGGTTTTTAAATCATTTTATTAATACTATTTATGTTTTCAATTCTTTTTTTTTGAGATGGGGTCTCACTCTGTCTCACAGGCTGGAGTGCATTGGTGCAATCTTGGCTCTCTGCAATCTCAACCTTTGAGGCACACGGGATTCTCCCACCTCAGCCTCCTGAGTAGCTGGGACCACAGGTGCAGGCCATCACACCTGGTTAATTTTTCATATTTTTAGTAGAGACGGAGTTTCACCATGTTGTCTAGGCTGGTCTTAAACTCCTGAGCTCAAGCAGTCTGCCTACCTTGGCTTCCTAAAATGTTGGGATTATAGGCGTGAGCTGCTGTGACCAGCCACCCAATTCTTTATTTAAATACTTTTAGGAGAATTGTTACATATATAGGCCCTTCCTTGCTATACGGTGCATTTTAAAAAACAAAACTGCAATACCTTTATTGCATGTTAAAATTGACATTAGTTCCTTATCATCATCACATATCTAGTCAGGAATTAAATTATCCTGATTGTCTTACAATTTTTCTTCCAGTTGGTTTGTTAGAATCAGAGATCAAATCTGTACATTGCCTTCGGTTTACAGGTTCTTTTAATTCTCGTTCAATCCCTCTTTGGTTTTTGTTGAAGTAGTACGGTTGCTTTCCCCACTCTCAGGTGGTAGAGCATGTCCGCCCTCTTGAGTGCGACAAAGGGTGTGCGCCTCAGGAGCGCAGTCCTGTGGGCTTAGGTGGCTCCTTTGGTCACATCCTCAGTTCTCATGCGGTCAGGCCTGTTTTGTTACCTTCTGTTCTGCTTCTCTGGTCTCTTGCGTGCATGTATGGCAGTATCACTGCTTTAGTACTGGCGTCAACTGCGTTCAATACAAAATAAGGCTCCTTCCCTTTGATTTCTCTTTACCAGGGTTGTTTTTAGTTTGTTTTGCTGTCATTGCTGGGCTTATATTCCACGTAACTTTTAAAACCAATTTTTCTAGTTGCAGGGGAGACACCCAGTGCTGTTTGGGGGAAAGACGCATAAGTGTATAGATTAATGAGAGAGCTGGCGTTTTCATGATGTTAAGGCTTTCTGTCCACCTGTTCAGAACACATATGTTTTTCCATTTGTTCAGCTTTTCTGATCTGAAGGGAGTATTGTATGTATTTTTCACACATTGGACTTAAGCATTCCTTATTCCTAATGTTTTGTTGTATTTGTGTTTTGAATGTTTTCACTGTCATAAATGGATCTTCTCCATCTTCAAATAGATTTTCATTATTTTGTTGCCTTTGGAAAATGAACAAGCTCAAAACCACTAATGTAATTACAGTTCAGTGCATTTCCATTTTTTATCTATAACTCTTAAAAGTTAGAATACATATTTTAATTTCAGTTTGTATGAAAGGTTGTAATCCAAGACTTTGTTAAAGTGAGATTTAAAAAGAGAAATAGAAGATTAAGTCGTTTGATGTTTCAAAAAATAGTTAAAAAAACAAAATGTCCTTTACTTACTCTAAACCTTCTCTCAGAATTCACCCATTAAGTGGAGTGAGCTTCCTGAGGAGTCTGAGCATTATCTTTGGTTGATATTGACTAAAGGGTGCCGTGAACGTGCGGCACAGTGCTGGGATTCTCCCCTCACGGTGCCCCAGCACCCGCAACAGAGCACACGCTTCACAGACCCACCGCTGACCATACCAGCTGGCATTTTCACTCTCTACAGTGATTTTTCAAAATATTTGCAAAGAATATTTAACTGGAATGCTCTTGCCTTTCACTGTGACAGCTCTCTTCTAGATTTCATCTAGGAATATATTTCACAGGAGATTATGGTTTCAGGTACCCCCATGTCCAGCCTTACTCTTTCAGCAAGAGCTGAATTAAAGGGAATCTGCAGGAGAGCACTTCTGGTCCCCTGTGAAACCCCAAAAGCTGTTTCAGAAATCGCTAGCCAGGCGACGTGCTCAGAGAACAGTTACTCCTGCTCCAGCGCAGCGCTCAGAGGAACACCAAGGGCAACGGCTCCCCACAGGCCCACACTCCCTTGCTTGTAATTTTGCTTGTGATAGCACGTTCTCCCTCAACAACTCATAAAATTTATTTAGTTTGGAAAGTTATTTCTGCTAACCCATAAGGGACAGACTGTCCAGAAGTGCTGGGTGGTCTTCAGTGTGTCCAAATCCTGTGGCTTCAGCTCAGCAAGTTCCCCAAGCAGTGGCGTAAGAGTTGGAGCATCTCCATGGA